CCTCATTGACTTAAATGCTGTGATCTGGGCTATAGAGTGAGACAGAACTAATCACTGGTGGTTCACACACCTCAGTCTTCCTTATGAAACAGTAGATGGAGGTTGTGGTGATTTTTCTTTCTCTTTTCTCCTATAACATAGCGTTCAGAGCACATATGACACATCATGACTTAATGTCCTCCTCTGCAGGAAATAACACTGTTTTAATTAGTATTTCATTAAATATGGGAACATGGTACTTCCCAAGTGTTTTGTTCAAGTTCTTCTCCTCTGCCTTTTGCAGTCCCAGCAGTCAGATTTTTGTGTGGAGAGAATAGTTCTGTCCTCCAGAGGTTACCTAAATCTCCTTTAAGATTCTGCATATTGAGACAAAACTGCGGATAAATTGATAGGATCCATGTAGCACTCCCGCTGGCCTGGAAAGGAGGACAGCACTTAAAGAATAGAAAACACCCATGAGGAGAGGGGGGAGAACCAGACCAGCCATCTAGACAGGGAGTTATCGTGGCTGCTCCATTTCCAGCCACGTTTCCTACAGAGCTTTATCCACAAGCCATGCTTTGGCAATATTGATCTACTTAGGAGAGGAAAGTTCAAAGTAAGAGTTCTGTTGGGGCTTACACACATATGAAACTGGTTTTGTGCTGTTTGTGGCACTTCTAAGTATTCCAAGAAGCAGAAATTCACAGGAAATTTCCACATCAAACATAGTCTTCTAGAGACTTCAGGCACCAGGTGGAAGAACCAGCAGCTAAACAAGGACTGTAAAGATTTATATTTTGGGTTTAAATATCTAGAGTGGCAATTAAAGCACAAAGACAATTTTCTGGATCTTCACCTCAGTGGGCATCATTCTTTCCAAACAGGAAAGGAGCTTGATTTAGGGGTGATGGGTCCATTTTAACAATTCAATAACTAGCCTGATGCCTATGGTGTAACACATTTACACATTACAGAAAATACGGGCTCTTGAATCACATATGCGAGGTAAGTAACTTATGCTAAAGTCTGGTACAAAGTGTTTTCCAAGAGGAAACCATCAGTGAAAATGAGGGTTTGAAACTCTTCAATCTATGCTTCTTGTCAGAATTTTTTGTAACATTTTAAAGTGAAAGGCAGTGAATACATAAAGCTTGTAAATATTATTTTAAAAATATGAATTACAATATAAGTACTCATGATGGAAGGAATTTCTACAACATAAAACATTTTTTAATGAAAACCTTACCTCATCTCTGGAATTTTGAAAGGGAACTATGATTATTTTATTTTGTGTTCTTCCTGTGTCCCAGCACTAATTGATATTTTAAAACATTAAAGGATTTCTATAATTTCAACAGCCTAATATTTTATGCCTATTTTATTTTGATTTATTTTCTCTGCTTAATTTAGTGATAACTGGGAGGGATGTTATTTAGCATTAGCCGATTGAAATATTTTCTTGTCTTCTCTAGAAGAAATATAATAAAAGCAAACTAGATGTAGCAATGTTTTTTTTTTTTTTGAAATTGTATATGCTTTCACCAGTAGGAATATATGAATTTAAATTGAAGTTCTGGCCTTACAAAGGAGACATTTACCAACTTCATATTTTTCAGAATTTTCATGGAAAATGCTGAAAATATTAACTTTAATTTTGAGCTATAAAACTCAGGAGGGAAAAAAAAAAGGAAAGATTATGTGAACTCAGACTTCCAAGAGCTGACTAGCTCTGTCAACATCTGTCATCATCAGCCACTTTTGCCACCTTTCTGAACACCTCTCCTGCCAAATCCCTTCCACTGCTTCAGTGCAGAGAACAGATGTTAGTTACAGGCTCTGTTTCTCTGCTACTCTATTCTTTACCTAAATGCATGACCCATTCTTGTTTTCCAAAGATTAGGAGAATAATTTGGAACAGAAGAAACCTCTGGAGAACTCCATTCCAGCTCCCTGATTGAAGCTGGGCTAACTTCAGTGTCAGAAGTAGTTGCTCAGGGCCTTGCCCTGATGAGTTTTGAAAGTCTCCAAGGCCTTTCCAGAGTCTGACATTATGAAGAATTTTTCCCTTCTTTTTAATGTGAACTTCTCCAGCTGCAGCTTTCAGCAATTGTATCTTGTCCCTTCACTGAATACTCTGGGGAGGAGCTGATGCTTTTCCTTGTAGCTCTCCATCCAGTAATGACAAAAGACTTCTCCTCAAGATTGTCTGTTCTCCAGGCCGAACAAGTATAGTTCCTGCTTCTGGTTCTAATTTCATCCAGACCATTCCTTCCCCATTCTTCACTGTAAGGTGACAGAGTACTACATTAGGTTCTCCAGAGAGACTGTGAAGTCTCCTCCTCTGGAAATCTTTAAAACCCAGGTGGATACGATCCTGTGCAATATGCTCTGGGTCAACCTGCTGTAGCAGTGGGGTTGGATCAGATGATCTCCAGAGGTGCCTTGTAACCCTAACTATTCAGTGATTCTGTAATTTGGATTCCAGATTCCTGGTTTAACTATTCTTATTCCCCTTCTCTTCTCCTTGTGCCATACCTCCAGCCTAGCTGCCCATTCCAAACCTTCTTCCCTTTGGGTTTTCAGGGTTTTCTACCTGAAAATGGAAGTGTCTTCTTCACCAGTCTTCAGGACCAGGGACTCCCTTCTCCACTTCCTTTTCTGGGAAAGCCAGGAAGAGCAAAGAGTAAATACTCTTCCACAGCCACCTTCCAGAATATTTCTTCACAGAGTACTGCTTGTGGACTGGAAAATCATGAAGTCACTGAATGGTTTGGGTTGGATGGGACCTTAAAGAACACCTAGTTCCAGTCCCCTGCCATGGGCAAGGACACCTTCCACTAGACCAGGTTGCTCCAAGCTCCATCCAACCTGGCCTTGAACACTTGCATGGATGAGGCATCCACAGCTTCTTTGCAACCTGTACCAGTGTTTTACCACCTTCACAGTAAAGATCTTCTTCCTCATCTAAATCTCTGCTCTTATTTTAAAGCTGTTCCCCCTTTTCTTGTCCTATCTTCCTGCATAAAAAGACACTCTTCCTCTTTCTTACAAGCCTTCTTTAGATATGGAAAGGCTGCAATCAGGTCTCCCATTGTCTCCCAGATATGTGTCTGATGAAACAACTGCTAGAAATGCACTGGAGGAGGGAATCTGTGGAACTCACTTAGCTCTGCAACACAGCAAAACAGCCATGATCAATAGCTTGGGAGAAAAGAGACTCGGTGTTGCAGGATTGTTCCCTTATATTGGCCAAAATTTTGCTTAATATCATGTTGCATCAGCCTCCAAATGTCTTTGCTTGTAAAAGAATGTAGTATAGCCTGACAGGTCCTCCTCAGAAAGTTCTTCCATGCATTTTCAGTTTCTTCTTCCTCTCATTTCAGTTTCAACCCATTTCCCTGGTTGCTGATACTTTTATGAAGAATCGTGTTTAATTTCAGTTTGTTTCTCCACAGACAAATAAAAGAGTACTGAATTACTTGGGGAATAGATATGGCGAGGAAATGCTTTGAGTTCCCAAAATATTAGGAGGCAATTACTCTCTTGTATAACTAACCCATCGTGACTAGTTTAGGGCTGACCAGAATCCCAGCAGAAATCTGTGGCCAGAGACTGGTACCCTGTGAGGCTGTTATTTTGTCTTGGCTTTGCAGAAAAAAATCAAGTTTCTGGAAACTGAGACTTGATTTTCAATGGATGACCAACAAGAATCAAGACTTGCTGAGCTCATAGGGACCCTCTCTCGGAGTGTTTCTAGTGCTTCCAGTACTTACTTGATCCCACAACAGAGGATTGTTTCAGGAAGAAAACACAGCAAACTGTGGTAGGAAATGCTTAAGGGAGATCTATTGCTGTTCAGCATGGAGAAGACTGTAGGGAGACCTCATTGCTGCCTTCCTGTACTGAAAGGGGGTTTTAAGAAGGAGAGAGATGGACTTATATGGGCAGATAGTACCAGGACAAGGAGCAATGGTTTCAAACTGAAAGAGGAGAAGTCTAGATTAAGTGTCAGGAAGAAATTCTTGGCTGTGAGGGTGGTGATGCCCTGGCACAGGTTGCCCAGAGAAGCTGTGGCTGTCCCGCCCCTTGCAGTGTTCAAAGCCAGGTTGGATGAGGCCCTGAGCAACCTGGTTTAGTAAGTGGCATCACTGCTCATGGCAGCGAGGTTGAAATTATATGGTCTTTAAGGTGCTTTCCAGCCCAAACCAGTCAAGGATTCTGTGTTTCTATTGTCCTGTCCCATGCAAACAGCTGCAGAAAGGAAGCCATTTGTTTCATGCGGCAACTTAAAGAAAACAGAGTTTGCATTGACTGTGCAAATCCCAAATGCTCTACTACAGGTGCCAGAATCACAGAAGGATATCCCTTGGCTCAGCAGAAGGAGCTCTTTGCATCAACAGAGGTTTTTGCAAGGACTTTACGAAAAAGCAATGAATGAGGGTGTCAATTTTGGTTGCAAAATTACAGGCTGTATCATGCCTACTGTCCGGATTCCACTGGGATGGGGTTCATATTCTGCTTTGTTAAACCATGACACCAACCTTCTAGGACAATGGGGCTGATTGGTGGAAAGATACAGAATATGAACCCCATCCCAGTGGAATCCGGACAGTAGGCATGATACAGCCTGTAATTTTGCAACCAAAATTGACACCTTCATTCATTGATTCTTTGTAAAGTCCTTGCAAAAACCATGATTGGTGGAAAGATGTGTAATGTCTTAGTGATGGCTACCTTTGATGGAGGATCGGGTACTCTGTCATTCAGTCTTCTTGCAGGCACAGTAGCACAGAGGAGAGGCAAAAGGTGGGGCTGTCATATACATATCCCTATTTTGAACAATTTTGAACAATGTATTGTAGAGCTCCCATTTTCCCTGTTTTCCCTCTCTTTGTAAATTCATTCATATTTTCTTCCCCTCACACTTCTCATCTCACCCAGATTAAAAGAATTGGCTGAAGCATGTTCATATCACTACTTGGTTGCCTATGCTGCTAACAGAAAAATCCAAATGAGCCATGCTGCACTTCTGAGACTTATTCCTCCAAAAACTATTTCTGCTCCCAGGGAAGTCAATGCAAATCTAATTAGTCTCACAGTAATAACAAGAACTTCCTCTTTGTAGAGCAAAACAATCGCCATGTTAAAACTGTTACTTAAATGAGTTTGGCTCTGTCATCAGGTTATTAACAAATTCTAGTCACAGCAGCCAAGGTAACAGTGGCTCTCACAGTAGGAGAAATAGTCTTGCCATGCTTGACAAAAAAGCCATGAACTCAGTCTGTGGCAAATCAGCATCTGAGCTCACAGTTTGGCTTGCTTTTGAGCTTCCAACTAATCCCTGGGATTGCTGCTTGTGCAAGCCTTCTACAAGATTAAGTGCTTGAGCCATTTGCTTCGGTAAATGTTAAATCAGGCCCTATTGCTGCTGATGGTTTGTTCAAATTCATAGGATCACAGAAATCACAAAATGGTTTGGTTTGGAAGGGACCTTAAAGATCATCTTGTCCCAATCCCCTGCCCTGGGCAGGGATACCTTCTGCTAGACCAGATTGCTCCAAACCCCATCCAATCTGGCCTTGAATATATCCAGGAATGGGGCAAACACAACTTTTCTGAGAAACCTGTCCCACATTCTTGCCTACATCTCCAGTACATCTCCTTATTCTCGACTGGTTGTACTCTATAATATAAAGCAGCTGTCTCTGCTTCAGGACCAGAGGTAAAGGTCTAAGGTGGAGTCCAAATACCATAGAAAAATAGGAAGACATTTCTTTCCATCTGTGGAGCATTCCAAGCTAGTGCTTTAATACGTCCACTGCCTTGTACTTTTTACAAAATTCAAAGCTGTTTTAATTGTAAAAAATTCCATAATGAAAACCATCTGCCAGTTTCATTCATAATTGCTTAAAAAATAGAATTATACACCATTTTGTAGTGTGGTAGTTTTGACATTCACTAGCTGGAAGAAACAGAAATGGAGCAGCAATTTGACTCTGAGTTATTTACCTAGACAGATTTCAGGCTGACCACTACTTCTGTGTGCCCGAATGGGCAGTTCCTGGCATTAACAGAAGAACTGATGTAGTTCCTTTTCAAAGCTACTGAACCCTGTTAGCAGGTCAGGCTCCCACTCACTGTCATGTTCTCTCCAAAACGGTGAATTTTCTGTGAGAGTATGGGACATAACATTTGTCAGTGTCAACTTCTAGCAATGCAACAGGCTAGCCATGTTAAACACATCACAGAATGAGGACCTACAGAATTCTTCTTGCAGCACATCCTTTAGACAATAATATATTTTGGGGGAAAGACAGTAGAAAGATCTGAATAATGGCCCAGGACTGGGTTCCCTATGCATTATTTCACACTGGTATCTTCAAAACACTTTTTTTGCAGTCTAATCTCCCGTGGCCTTTAAAAACAGATATACTATTCTTCTGCATTAAAATGAAATCATATGCAGTGAGTTTCCAATAGTTTTTCTTTCAGTTCAATGTTAGCTGGTGGAAATTCATGCTCCAGGATTTTTTTTAAAAAAGCCTTCACCCCAGAGATGACTTTCTTCACATTAAACTCAGTTAAATATATATTGCACACAAGGGCAAATTTACTCCTCTTTGAGTTAAACCATGGATCGGCAAAACATAGCAAATTCTCCTTCAAATCCGTGCAACCCATACATGGTGTAATTCAGGGTACTTCAAAAGCATTTAAAATCCACAGCTGAAAATCAAAGATGAGAATTTTACCCTTTATTTCTACACACTGTCAGTGCAGCACCTGATTTCTTCAGTTTTCAAGACATTTTGTGTTACTATGCTTTAAACTGATGGGTAAAGTTTTGCCTGCGGAAGCAAAAAAATGAACCCGCACCAATGATGATCACTGATAAAACCAACACAAATGTTAATATAGTAAGGAAGTTGATTTTCTTCAGATCCTCTTTTTCACAGTCTTCTGGTCTAATGTTCTTGATGTGCATTTCATCCTGGTACCCAAAATTCCGAGTATGCTGGCACGTTAAATGCTCCACATTGGGGATCTGGACATTTTTGTTCTGGATCATGGATGAAAGCCAGATGTTTCCACAGCAGTCGAGTGGGTTCCCAGTGAGATACAAGTTTTTAAGTGAATTTTCTAATGCTAAAATATTGCTGTTCTGTAATGTACTGAACCTGTTGTTCCGTAGGTCCAGAACCTCTAGTGGAGAGTCACTACCCCACTTAGGCAGCCAGTTCAGCTGATTTTCAGAGAGGTTTAAATGTTTAAGGTGACTAAAACAAGGCAAGTCAATATTTAAATCTATCAGGCTATTACCATATAAATACAAACATTCCAGAGACTTTTCCAGACCTGATAATGCTTTAAGTTCTATATTCAGTCCAGGGTTCATGGAGAGGTCCAAGACAACCAGAGAAGTCTTGTAGAAGCTGTATGCTGGTAGGATGCTCAGCATGTTGTCAGCTAGGTACAAGTACTGAAGAGCAGGAGAATTGACAAATGATACACAACCACTTTTCTCTCCAGCAAGTCTTTGCTTAGCTAATCCTGAGTACATGCTGCAAAGGCTGATATTATTGCTTTGTAGGTTAAGCAGTCTAAGGCTAGGAAGATTTGAGAAGATGTCAAACTGCAGTGTTTGAAGATAGTTGTTTTGAACATAGAGCTCCTTCAAGTTTGACAATGTACCAGCATCGAGGAGAAGGGTCTGCAAAGCATTGTAGCTCAAGTCAAGGACAGTTAAAGACATCAATGCACTGTCATAACTTATGACAAATGACTGAAGACAGTTTTTACTGAGATTAAGGGTGTGAAGGGACAACATTGATTCAAAGAACTCATCTGGAATGGATTTTATTTCATTATAACTTAAGTCTAAATATACAAGCTGGGATAAATAAAGAGAACTTTTGTTTCTACTTTGCTTCAGGTCAAGAAGATGGAAAGAAGCATTTAGCCATTCATTTTTCACATAGTCCGTTTTATGATGAGGAGATTCAGCAGTGAGCTGGATTAAATTCTTTGATAAATTCAGAGTTACCAGCTTATTTACCTGAGGGAACACTGGAAAATGAAACAGCTTGTTTTCACTCAGATCCAAACACCTTAAGCTATATTCATCATCTGATTTTGTGGTGTGGAAGGTCTCAATGCTGTTCCTGCTAAGGTCAAGTATCTCCAGCTGCCTGAGGTTAAAATCAGAGATGCAAGTAATTGAATTCTTTGAGAGATTGAGTTTGGACAGGCTCACTAGAGTCTCAAAAGCACCTTCTTCTATTTCCATGATGATGTTGCTCTGAAGATCTATCTCCACAAGATTGGGAGATCCCTGAAACATCTTTTGGGAAATCATTATAATGCTGTTGTCTGCCAAGGAAAGATACTGCAGTGCTGGAGCTTCTTTAATGAAATACTCAGCCATCCCATTGTACAGACTGTTGTGGGACAAGTCCAGTACTTCCACCTTGGGTAAGAGTCCAATCCCCTCTGTGCCATTTTGAGCAAGCTCATATAAGTGATTGTTGGCTAAATTTATTTCCAGCAAACTCTTCATGTGTGCGAAGACTCCAGGTGTGATGAAACTTATCTGGTTAGAGCTTAAATCCAGGCACTGAAGAGAAGTGTAAAATGATGATGACATTTCAGGAATGCTTTGAATCAGATTTCCTGACAGATCTATTTTGTTTACATTTGGATAGAGTTCATGAGGGATTTGATGGAGGTGTTTGTTGTGGCAAAATGCCTGAGAGTTTGCCTGCCAGAAAAAGAGAAAAGGAGTTGTCATATGACAAATGAAAAATGTATTTGCATTAAATATAAGAAAAATAACATTCATCATCCAGGCAGATGCTGCTTCTGAAACACTGATCACTTTTTCTGAGCATTCAGACAGCAAGAACAACAATCCCAATTAGCTCCTTTGCAACTAACAGCACTCATTTAATTTTAAAGAGATTTCTGACTTTGAACAGTAAGTTTAATCTGCATGTGATACCTACTAAAAGTTCTCCTTTTTGTACCTTTCTGCTAGACTCATTTGAACAGTCCCAAGTTTCTCTGCAATCAAGCACTCATTTTTGTGCTGATGTTTCATTTTCTCACTTTCATCACTGTATTACAATTTGCAGACTCTACTTGCAGCGTAAGCAGTACTTGGAAAAGCTTCACTCTGTTGGCAACATGGGTTCCAGAGCAAGGAGGTATATAAACCTATAAGGATCCTATAACAGAAACCCTGTCTCTCCTTCATAGTCACATGGTGAAATATGCCTTCCCTTAGCCATGGCTTAGTTAAGCAAGGCAGCTTTAATCAAACAGGGTCATTCAACAACTGAGACACTTCTGACACCAATCTCCAAACTCATTCCACTTTTATCTTCCAGTTTATCCTTTTCCTAAGGCAACAGTTCCCTTCTACTTGCATGGAGAGCATGCCTTATGAAGCCACCCACACAAGACACTGTGATACAACACTGAAAACACAAATTATGGAAATTCAGGTTTTGAGAGGGAAAAAGATGGGATGTGCAGTTAGGGTCAGGCCTTTTCAGGCCAATTCTCAGCAGAAGGACAAACTTTATGTGCACGTTCATAAGGAAACATTAGAAACATGAACACAACCATCCTTACATAACCATCAAGTTCGGTTTTGTTGTTAAGAAGAACATACAGTAGCAGGAGGAACTGGAATGTGAAAGGCTTAGGCAGCATTTAATTTGCTGGAGAAAAAGTCTTGTTATTAATGTATTTGGGTGTCTGGAGAAGGGAAGTTCTAGGAAGGGATAAAAGAGAAAGAAAAGAGGAAGGAAGGAAGGAAGGAAGGAAGGAAGGAAGGAAGGAAGAGCAGAATCCAGATACTATGACATGAAGCTTTTCAGAAATCAAGCAAATATTAAAAGTCAAAGATATTAAATCTCAACTGTTTTATATGAACTTTGAGTGAATGAAGTGGCAGATCTGTTTAGCAGAAGTGGGGCACTAGTCAGCATTTTGTGCATCTCTTTTGCATCATCTTAGTTCTGGAGACCACACAAGAATGTGCCAGAGAAGTGCAAGTGCTCATTTCAACTCTAGATGTACACAAGCTGCTCCCATAACACATTTTTCCCAATGATCCCAAGTAAACTGGCTATTAAAACTTAAACCCCTTCTTCTTTTCCCTCCAACTCACTCAAATCTCCCGCAGCTCAAAAAAAAAATTAGAAATTAAAAAAAAAAAAAAGAAGGAAATTTTCTGACTTCTCCCTGAAAATATTTATTTCCTGCAAAGTCATTGTACAATTCCTCATTTCAGTTAAATTATGCCCAGAGTGGGCCTTATTTCCTAGGCATGAATAGCAGGGCAGGAAACCTCTTCTTACTCATTTGTGGAAGAGGAAGAAGCCAGGAGGATACAAAAATCCAGAGTGAAAAAGAAGAAACTGCTTTGCATCCTAAGGCAGATGCCAGGTTTTTTCTCACACTTTCAGCCAGATCCCAGCAATTGCTGAGCACCCTCCATTCCTCCTGAGCAGCTAGAATCTTAGCAAAGTCCTGATGCAACTCCTGTCAATGCCAACAATCTGCTTTTCATTGAAGTTGATGGGGGAGAGGTCAGCTACTGTTCACCATGTATCTTGCATGATTTGGTTTTTAATCTGCATCCACGGAACCATCCCAGTTATAAAAGGGACTAATAAAATCTACACCTCACACTGTCTGCCATTTGTTCCTATAACATTTCCCCTCTCATTTTTCTTCTTAAGCTCTCCTTCCTTTTCACTGACTATTTTGATCCTCACTAAATTTCTTATCTTGTCTCCTCTGCACCATATTTTCTCCCCCAAGGTTCAAACTGCATGAATTTCATTGTCATCAGCAGTAGGAAAAAAGATGAAGCATGTCTCTGTGGAATGGAGCAAACAGCATCTGTTTGGTTTATCTCCTCGCCTGTCACCCCTTAGTCCAATGGGTTGGTAGCCTGAGACTGGAATAGAGACTTTTGTCAATCTCTTGTTCTGACTTCCATCACCTCTGCCAGTGCTGCCATCAGTTTGTTTCAAGTCCATTGCCAAGAAGTACTGGAGGGTGAGGACCACTTGGTCCCATTAAGATGCTGGCAAAATAAAAAATAAAAAATTACCCAACAGTTCAAAAGCTGGGCATCATTTGGTTTCTGACTCCAGTTCTTCACTGCCCAGCACTGGGTGGAAGTTGTCAGCCACCTCAGTAAGAGCCCTACAAAAAGGAGTTCGACTCAAGCCTGCCCTTGGGTTCTCTTTTATCAATTCATGAACATTTGAACCAAGAGTCTGGGCTGGAGCCACTTGGCACTGACCTATACTTGTATGGTGTCCTTGACCATTCTTAGAAGAGCTGCTCAGGCAATCAAACCTTAGCATTTTGCCCAGATACCACACATCAGCTGACCTATGACATCTGGTTATGTACCTGTCCTTGCATCACCTCAAAGCAAGGTGAAATAGAATTTTCTAAAATCCCTTCCCTCTTATAAATTATTTGAAATCTCCTCCTTTGCCAATTAACAGGAATTAGCAAAATCATATTTCTTTGGGAAGTAAAATATGATACAGTTGAAGCTTTGTCTATCCTTGAAAAATAATGTGAGTTAGGAAGAACATCCTGACATTTGATATGTTCCCTACTGTCTCACAAACTGATAGATGTGCTGTAACTGGTATAATCAGTGCAGTTCACCCCATGTCAGGGGTCTGGTAGGGACTGCTTAGTTCCTAAAACCTTTTGTAGGAGAGTTTAGTTCAGCAATAGAACTATCAGTGGTGACTCAGAACATGGCACAGGTTTCTAACTCATGCCTCTTCTGTGAGATTTGAGATTAAAGTTTCCATTTCTGAGCCTTTGCTATTCTAAAGGTGTCACCACAGGGAAAGTACCATATAAAAGAGTGAGGCTGTGATGCAATACAGGACTGTCAATGACACCTAGCCAGCTAATCCAGTAGCTCCTTCTTTCTTTGAGCTGTTTAGATCCACATGAAATGCCAGTGAAGGAAGGCAATCAGTATGGACATTAGCAACACTGAGCTATTGATTTACATCAGATGAGCATCCTGGCCCCCGACAGCAGTGTGTTTTCTGTCAGGGCTCATTTTATCCCAGAGTAGTTGTGTTGTTGGCTTGATGAAAGCAGTTTACAGTGGACTAGTGCAAGCAAGCATGTGTTTACTTCTCAGCAATAAGCCTGGTCTGTGACCCATCAAGAAAGGGGATGAAACTGCAGGGATTATTGCATGGCTCATCCAGCCTTCGTGCGACTATGACATGGGACCCAGGCTGCCCTGGTTACAGTGGCTGCATCAGTGTTCCCTCTCCAGCCAAGGAGCTGAGCTACCCAGTCACCTTCCCAAGATCTTTTTATATATACACTAGGTCTTAATTTCTCTGGAATTCAGGAAGTGCAGCAATATGGCAGGGTGGGCAGGAATGGAATGAGTCCCACAAGGGAGATGTGTACAGCTAGCAAATTATTTTTTCCCTATTTTGGAAATTCTTGAGGATTTGTGCTGAACAGCTTCAATGTTCAAGGGGGGGAAAAGAAAGTATTTTTAAACATCCTGGTACAGTCAGAAGCACTTGGGGAGGGAAGAGAGAAATCTCAGTTGCAAATAACATTTATAATATTGTACCAGGTGCTTGCAAAAATTCAAGGAGCAGATTTTGTACTGGAGCAAGAGTCTTTGTCATTTCTCTTCACTCCAGCAGAAGTCAGGTACAACTTCCCTGGCAGAAATGCTGTGGCAGGGCAGAGGAGGTCAGTCTACTTGTTATTACAAAAGACCTGGTATAGAAGTATTTCACAGAAGATGTTTTAATGAAAGTACAAAGAACAAATGATATAAAGAAGTTGATTTGAAGTCTAAGTTCTTTCTCTGTCTTAGCCACAGAAACCCTGTACAATCTTAGGGAAATCAAGTCAAATTTCTTTTAAACAGCTCCTCCTTAGGAAAAAAGCTGAGATAATGACCCTTCTTGCCCACCCCTCTCCCCCTCCCCTTAGTGTCCTGTGACTACAACAAGGACACAGCCTGATGACAGACTGCTAAGCATCCCCTAAACCTGCAAATCCCACCTCTGCCATCTCAGGAATCCTGGTCATCGGGGTTTCCCTTCTCAGACACTGTAGCTTCTTGTGCAGTGCCTGTAACAAGGGAGTCCCAACCTCACTCAGGATCTCAAGGAACCTAAGTAGAGAGACAGCCTTACCATTTCACAGGATGTCCCCTCGGGAAGTTGGTAGTTAGAGGTTTCTTTGTTCACCACTGCCAGGAAGAAGATGATGTACAGTTTCATGGCTCTGTGGGTAAAAATAACTACAGTTAGATTTCATATGGGACACAGTGGTCAACACATGCAAAAGCTGGCACCAGGTCATCATCTAATATGGAGAAGAACACAAGCAGTGCAATAAACTAAGCCATCTCTGAGGATCTGAAAGGAAGGTCCAAGGCATTTAATGGGTTTTCCCCAGTGTGATTTCAGCTGCTGCCTAAATGATATCCAGGACAGTCAACAAAGTCCAGATGTTCAAGCTGGACAGGGTGTCTGGCATCATGGAGAAAGAAAACTAGTGAAGAGGGAGTTATCTTCACACACCCCCCACAGACACAGCAGCGGTGCTTTCAATTGGGCTTAAGTTCTGGGTGCCATATCCTGAGCAAAGCCAATAGGTGTCGCTCAGTAACAACCAGAAGTGGGAACAGCTGCCATTTCCTACAACATTGCCTACTCCTCTTATCCCAGAGCATTAAAGAACTTTTACATGTGTATCCTTGTTGAGTTAATGCCAACAGCTTAAGGAGTTGTCCTAGGTTACAATATAAAGATGCATTCTATTCCCATCCTCAAGAGCTGCTGAAACCAGGAGAGGCATTGTTTTTCCTTATCTCCTGTTAATGAGCCCATAAATGTCTTGCCTCATGACTCAGAGATAACTCCCTCCAGGAGCCATTTTTGTTTAATCAAGGACCCACCGCATGACTCAGAACGATACCAGCCCATTGTGAGATGCTCTGCCCAGGGAGGAGGAGCTAAGCATCCCCACCTGGATATAATCTGGGGTTTGGGACAGAACAAGCTGCCCTTACCCACTGGTTTCCAGATGACAAGAGCTACCAGATGGTTTCTATGGGATCACCACTTCAACAAGACCTTTTCATCTGGACTGCTACCACCACCCTAGCAGCGTGTCAGGTTGTATTCTGACTCTGTCAGTGGTTTTTCTGTTGTATTATTGCATGTATTTTGGGTGGTTTTTTTCCTTTTCCTAATAAATTGTATTTCTGAATTGGAGTCTCTCACTGGTTTTGCTTTCAAACCAGAACAGGAGTGGACTGAGATTTTTCATTTTACATGCTCCAGGTATGGACAGGCTTATAAATACATTTGACAGGAGATCATAGAACCATATGTCCCACAGAATCACAGAATATGTAAAATTGGAAGAAACCCACAAAAATAACTGGGTTCAATCCCTGGTCCTGTACAGCACCATCCCCAAGAGTCACACCCTGTGTATGAGAGTGTTGTCCAAATGCTTCTTGAACTCTCTCAGGCTTGGGTTGGAAGGGACTTTTAAAAGCCATCTGGTGCAATCCCTCTGCCATGGACAAGGACAAATTGTCAGCCTTACAAAGAGACAGATATAATATATAAATATAATGGATATAAAACATAATAGATTTGAGTGAAACAGAGAATTCGTAAGAATGTAACTGTTTGGAAAGCATTCCATAAAAGAGCACAGAACTGCAAAAGAAGCAAAGACCTCTGGGAGGCCTGTCACTGGACAATGGGGAAAAACAGAACCAAAGCCGAAGGCAGGTATTACTGCTTCAAACAGCTCCAAATGCAACCCCAAACCCATGCACAAACCACTGGCATCAATGTACTCAGTGGCTTCCGCCCACACAGCACTGAAGAGCTGGAAACAAAAGAGATGGGATCATTCTCAGCTGATGGAGATCCCTCTGCTTATCCACTTGGATGGATGCAGCTGATGGCCCCTTACAGCACTGACAGTCACTGAACAGCAATGCCAACAAGTTCCTGATAAGATTCTGCCTAATTCTACCCTCCCCAGAACCAGAGAACAGAGCTGTGTACTAGGAATAGAGAAACTGGGAAGGACTAGACCACACCTACTCTGTGTACAGTTTGTGTATTCCTTCCATTTCACAAGAAAACCCCAGTGATGGATCATGACCTGTGACCCCAAGGTGCAAGAGCAGGTCTCAGTAATGGGATCAGAAGTGTGTTCCTCCCTGTTAAAACCAAACCAAGGTTGTTAATTCTCTACCCTTGAATCAATGTTTGCAAAATATGCTGAAATCATCTGATGGAAAGAGGAATTGCCAATATCACCATCTATAATGTTTCCACTGTCCCCCTCTGTTCTTCATTCCCCATGCTTGGAGCAGCTGGAACCTCCTTTAAGGAGGAGAAATCTATTTTTATCATTTGAGTATTAGTTTGCTGAGGTGGTGATAGAAGGTGAACATACCAATGATTACAAGGCTTTTCTCCAAGCCCTCAAAGGGAAATCCTTTCTGTTCAGACAAAATGAATTAAGCTGAGGATATTAGCCACAACTGGCACCACCCTGAGGAACAGTATGTGGCCCATGTGATCTGCAATGTCTTCCCTTATCATACTGTCAGTGCAAAAAAAGGTCTCTTTGCCTCTTAAATAATAAACCTGACACAGTCCAGAGGCTTAACACACTTTATAACTTCCTAAATTTTAGGTTTATAAAGCAACTGGGAAATTAATGTATTTGAACATCAAAAAGAAATAAATTAAAAAAAAATTGATGTAATGGTTTGCTGTGTAAGGCAAATCTGTAATAAGCAAGGAAGCTGTCCCCCAAGGTGTTTCTAAGGTGGCTGTCACATACTGAAGGTCATCAAGGATGTGGTGGTCTCTTCCCGCATAAGGCAACATAGACTCTGTCCTCACAGAACCATTTAGTTTGGAAAAGCCCTCTAAGACCATCATCTCCAACTGTTCTCCCAGCACTGCCATACCATCACTATCCCATGTTCCTAAGTGCCACATCCACACATCTGTTAAATCCCTACAGGGATGGGTTATCCACCACTGCCCTGGGCAGCCTGTGGCAGTGCTTAACACCCATTGTGGTGAAGAAATTTTTCCTAATATCCAAACTGAACCTCCCCTGGCACAACCTGAAGCTACTTCCTCTTGACCTGCCATGGTACAGCCCAACCTCCTTTCTCAAGGAGACTCTATTCCTAGGGTAGTTTTCAGTTCAGCTGTCCAGTGGAGGAGCTTTTCCTGCATAGCTTTTCTCTGAACAACATTTAGATCCTTCTCAGCAACCTCTGGTGTGACACATTCCCCTCTGTTCTACCCTCTGGGCAGGTCTCAGCATCCCCCACGCTCTCCCTGTGCCAAGCTCAGGGTTACAGGACCCCCATTCCCTTGGTGTGCAAGAGGATGTTTACCAACACTAAACCCTTCCTGTTGGCATTGATCTCTCCATCCACAGCTTACAAAAACAGTTTGGGAGCAGCAGTAGCAACAACTCAAAGGAGATTTTATTGCTTTGAGGCTTTCCCAGAGTAGAAGTAGCTTCATCATCAGTGCCAGTTTGCTCCCACTGGAAGCTGTGATAGAAACCCCAGCATAACTCAGAGGATTGAGCTCTGAACCCTATTTAAATCCACAGCTTTCCATTACAGCACTTCAAAATCACGCACTGTCAACCTCAGCTGAAAAATGCAGGTGGTTTAAGTCAATATCATCCCCAAGGAATATTAACAAGTCAGTCAAATAATTCTAGAAAAATGCCCACTTAAAAAGTAGGAAAGGCAGAGAGAGCAGAGAAGACCAGTAATTTGCCCCAATACACATTTCAAACTATGAAATAGTAACAATTTATTCCCAGTTTCCACTTCAGAACAATGTTTGCCTCCATCTCTATCACAATTATTAATCCTGAAACTACTTCACAGATGTTGTTTGCAGCTAATAAAAGCAGCACTTTCCAGATTTCCCCCAAACGTAATTTTTATTATTGCCTAGACAATTAACGGAGATGCTCTCCCGTGCCAAGGAAAGTTAAATACAAGAGAACACACAGAACAAAAATCACACTCCTCAGGGTCTGATCCTTTTCCACACAAGACTCTTTCCTACTAAGTAAGAGCCTTCAGGTGTAAAAGAGTGACTATTTCACATTTACCTTGTTTCAAGGGTTTCTTGCATCCCCAAACACTGCTTATCATCTCTTTAAAAAGCATGTCCAGCTCTTCAAAATCAATTCAGTCCTGGTATTGATGCAATTATTCTTCAGGCTCATGTTCACCCATTCAGGACACCTAGTGGTTCACTCATAACTTCAGAATGAAGGCATTTTCAGGGAAATAACCATATTTGGGACAGTGTCTGCTTTAAATTATGTTGCTTGTCTTCCTCTCCACTCCTCCCCGGGCTCTTGCTGGGTCCTAGCCACCGCTGTGCTCTGGACAGAGTCAGCTACTGTGTGACATCCTGCAGCCCTTCCTTGGGGCAGGCATTGAGAGACAAGGGGATTTTTGCCAGAGGAGCTGTCAGGATCAGGCTGTGGGTTTTCTCCAGAGGATAAGTAACTTATTGGCGATGCCATTGTTTGGCTGTGTGCGTGGGGCATGACAGTGTGTTTATTTTGGGTGTGTCTGCCAGTTACATTCCTGCAGGGTTGCAGTCTCCTGCACCTAAATTTCTCTCTGCGTCTTTAAGGAAACAGTGTTTGCAGATTAAATGTTTAAAATTCATGGCTGATAATTATAAATCCCAAAATCTGGAAACCTGTTCTGGAAGAAATAATTTTTCTCTTTTTGCAATCATCCTATTAATGAGAGTGTGATTGCAGTCTGTTGGCAGGAGTGGGTCCATTGCTGGCTACAACACCCTTGATGGATTTTCATGGCATGAGGCAGGAATTAGGGCTAAAGGCCTCCATAAAGGCATTTTCAGATGAGCTGCTGAATTTTTGGCTGTAAGTAGACAGTGCTGAATATACTAGATCAAGTGGGAAGTATTCCCACTGCAAAGGGGTGCTTTTGTCATGTAGAAGATGATTTCAAATTGCCCAAGTTCAGCTGTTTATTTATTATTTTGTGCTGCCCTCTAGAGCTGGAGCAGCTGGTTTTCTCATTTCCTTTTGCTAATTAAGTCCTGCTTCAGGAAAATCCACCTCTACACAGATTTCCCTGCTGTTTTCTCCCAGAGACACAAGCCTGAACTGCCACAACACAATTTTCCCATGGCTGAAATACTACACCAAACAGCTGGGCTCTTAGTTTGCTTGGTAATGTACCCTGAAACGAGAGGTTTAAATCACAGATTTATAGAATCTCAGAATGGTTTGGATTGGAAAGGACCTAAAAGTTCATCTAGTTCCAGTCCCCCTGCCATGGGCAGGGACATCTTTCACTGGACCATGTTGCATGTCCAGCAATAAAAATACTATGGCAAGGTGACAGGGGAGGGCATGATTAGGTGCAATGGATAGAAGAATACTCGTTAAGCTCTCAGGAGGACTGTCCACCAGTGAGATTATCACAATCTCAGAAGAGTTTCCCTTGACTGGGCTCTCTTCACGTTAGTTTTGATCACCTTCCCCCATGCATGTCATGTCTTGAGCTTCACTTTGCAGTGCTGTTTTCCACTTCATCCCTTTGGCATGCTCCCTGGAGTAAAGCTCTCCATCTGCAATCCCCGTGGGGTAAGCAGGAAACTCATGTTGAAACTGGGGACCACTGTGCTATTCAGAGATTTAAACACCTTTTGGATGCTCTGGCTTTAGAGCTTGCCTTGTCAGCAGTATGCAATAGCACTTGAAAAGCACAGATGCCTTGCAAGGAAAACCTCAAATATTTGAGGTCTCCAAGGAAAATAAATACATTTTTTTTTTAGTACGATATTTTGATCTGATTTTAACTACAAACATCATGCCTCTAATTAAGAGCAGCAAGTGGCCAGGATGATAGCAGCTTCCAATTTTTCTATACCTGGATGTTCAGAGCACTTTAGAAAGTTTGGATTTACAGGGATAAAAATAGCAGAGATTTTGTGCTTTCCAAAAAGACAGCTCTGCTCCTCAAGCTGTTTTATTGAGTAACCAGGTAGCTGTGCCAGCTGAACTGTAAAGAAGAGCCTGGACAGAAACAAATGCCAGAGCAGGAGGGAAGGGCATGCACTGATTCTACTGCTCAGGGTTTTGCTTCAATAAAACCACACTCTCAGAGGACACCAGCTGCAATGGGAAAGATTGGTACTGTCCTTGCCATCTTTGTCCTTTCCCAAAGGGGATCTGGCAGTGAACAAAGACTCCAAAGCATTTGGCTGATTTCCCAAATTTTCAGTATTTTTGGCTTTGGGCTACCCAGCAGTTTACACTTTAAAGTGTGCTGAAACATTAGCATGGTATGGGCAAGTGTCACCTGCAGGGCAAGTGTCACCCTGCAGGGCAAGTGTCACCTGCCTCAGTCAGAGACTGGTCATAGAATCAGAGAATGGCCCAGTTTGAAAGGAACCTTGTAGATAATCCAATTCCCCTGCCATGTGCAAGGACACATTCCATTAGACCACTTCCTCAAAGCCCCAATCATTATCATCTCCATCACACAGACTAGAGAATCAAGCTTTTTTTGCCTACAAAATAGCAAGGGCTGTCCCATCCCAACAATGCCAAATGGTATGCTGGTTTTGCATCACAGAAGTGATGTTCTAAGAGAAGCTGCTAGCAGTTTCCTCCGTGTGTAACAAAAAAAACAATCAGTAATTAGCTTTGAGAATTGACAATCTGTTAAACCACTGAGAAAACTGATACACCTCTGTGAGCTCCCATGCTAAAACCAAAAAACCCGGGGAATTCTGCCTTTTCTTTTCTGGCCTGTGAGCAAGTAACTCATCCGGCCCAGCCCCCCTATCTCATCTGGGCCAGGTCGGCCTGGGCGGGCTCTGCTGTGGGGCCGGGCCTCATTGGCGGGTGGGCAGGGGAGGGGAGGCCGCGGGGCCAGAGCCGGGCTGTGCCACAGCTGCTAGCATGGCTGCTAACACGGCTGCTAGCATGGCTGCTGACACGGCTGCTGATACGGCTGCTAGCATGGCTGCTGATACGGCTGCCAACATGGCTGCTAACATCGGGCTGCTGACACGGCTGCTGACATGGCTGCTGACATCGGGCCGCTATGAAGCCCTGCCCACTGCTGAGCTGGGGTCCGCCGGGTCCCAGGAGCAGGCAGGACCGGGCCGGCTCAGCCAAGATTCTGCTGCCATTGGGGTTCGTCCACACCCACCAGGCAGCGGGAGGAGAAGCCATGGCCCCCTCCGCAGTGCGCTGGCAGCTGAGTTCTGGTCTGGCTGCTGAGATACCGGGCACCGCCCCAGCCCAGCTGCAGTCCTCACAGCTCCCACTGTGAGCTACTGAGCCCAGTCAGGGTCACCGACCATCTGCAGGCCCTGGGCAAGATATCAACTCTTTCAGGGCTTCAGTCCTCCCTCGAGTGAGAGAAAAGGACAAAGTGCAGACACATAGAGAAGCAACATAAAGACACCAAGGTCAGTGATGAAGAAGTCAAGTCCCAGATGGGAGGGGTGAGGAGATGCCTTAATCTTAGGACTAAAATCCTCTTATAAAGCTGTAGAGAAAAATTTAATTGATCCATCAAACTTTTTTTTCTCTATAACGCATTGAAGAATTATGGGGGGAAGGATTGTTCAAACCTGTGTTAAAGCAGGCAAATGTTGAAATAGCTGTGAATTTAATAAAAAGCTTGAACAAGGAGAGAGAAAAGTGATGAAGACTCTATGCCCCCAGGGAAAGAAGAAAAAGACCTCTATTCTCGGAGATTAAGATGATCTGGGAAATAAATAAAGAGAACCTTTGCTTTTGAACATCTCATCCTTAAAACAGTATCCCATAACTTGACATGGTCCATAAACACAGCTGTGGGAAAATCTGTGAAAAATGGGAGGGACTTTACAATTCCAGGTTTAATTTTTCTGGGTGGCTGCTATTCATGAAAATTAGACGCCACAAGAGAACTGTTTTCTTGTAGAAAAGTCTCCATGAATTTACTAGAGGGACTCCTCTCCCTAAGTAAACTGAAGAAAAGCTATTCTAGAAGTGATAAACTGACTTAATTCTGTGTGTTGTGAATGAGAAAGAAAAGGTTGTAGGGCGAGGAGAAGTGTTCTAAAAGTTTTATTCTGATTTTTATTATTCTTTCTTTTTTTTAGTTACTGTTAATAAAGTTTTCTTTATATCCTTTTAAGTTTTGAGCCTACTTTGCCTTCCTCCTAATCCTATCTCACAGCAGGAAATAAGTAAGTATATTCTAGTGAGTGCACTGGAGTTTGGCCAGCACTGAAACCCACCACAAAGGGTTTGCACCTGCAAGCCCTGTGAAATCCTTATTATCCGGTGGTGTCTCAGGAGTCACTTCCTACTCAGTTTCTGTGAATGTCAGTTGAATTTCATCCTCTGTCACCCAAAGTGAGGGACACCTTATCAGACCTCCCCTCAAAACCCTTTCCCCACCATGGCCCAGAGCAAGAAGAAAAAGCAAATCCTAGCTGCTGGCTCTCACCAGTCAGTTTGTGAACTGCTGCAGGCTCCCAAGGGTTTCAGAGGAACAAGAAAATGTCTTGACGATTTTGTGTCTTGAGTCTCCAGATCTTTTGGAGTCTGTCCATTCATAATGCTGCTGCTTTCTAAGGCACTGCTTTTGTTTGAGTCCTGTGTCAAGCTCTATGAATCAAACTCTTTAGAGAAGTCAATAAAACAAGTTCCTGCCTTAGAAAGTAGGTCTGAACTGTAAACGCAGGAGTGGGACAAGTCTTGCTCCTTTTTGGCTGGAATAGCTCCGTGGTCATTCATCCCACAGGGGAGATGGAGACACTATTAATATTAACCCTATTAAAAAGAGTATCCAATGCCATTCTGAGCAACAGACTTTGAGAAGGAAGCACAGCTCCAGCTCCTGACACTCTACAACTGCAGAATCTCCAGAAGCTGATTCTCCTGGTTTATTTTGTTCCTGCAATCTACACTGTGCTTGGCATCTCACAGGCAGATGCAGCCCCATGTCTTCCTGCCGTCAAGTCCACAGATCAAAATAGAGACTCATCCATCTCTTGTAAAGCCAAGGTTTTCCTCCTGTCTTTTGAAGCTGCTGCCTTCCTTCGTTCTATTTCTGCCCTCTCTTCATGTACATCTTTATCAGACGTTCAGCCAACAGCATTTCCCCACCAAAAATTAACATCTCCAATTATTGAGGTTTTAGTCAGATTCCCTACTTTATTCACCCTTTTTCCTCCTACTCTCTTCAGGAAAGAAAATGT